CGGCGCGGCTCATGGCCCGGCCTGGCCCGGCCCCGGCCCTGGCCCCGGCCCCGCGCAGGACACCATGGCGCGGCGCGCCTCCTCCCTCCTATCCTTTCTCTCCGCTTCGCTCGCTCCCGCCCTCTTCCTTTCGCCCTCTCTCCCTCTGCGAGCCTCTCGCCTCCCTCCCGCCCGCCCTCCAACAGGTTAGCTCAACGCGGGACGTTTATAAAAACGAAGTTCAGGTTGGGAGGGGGCCTGGGCTGGTCGGGGGGCGCCTCCCGCCCCGAGGGCGCCCGCCGGGGGCCGCGCCATTGGCTGTGCGGGGCCACGTGGGGGTGGGGGGCGCGAGGGAGTCTGGCTCCTAGCTCAGGCCCTGCTGGACCCACCCACCCCTGGTCCCCACCCCTCCCCAGCCCCTTGCGCTGCCCACCTCCCCTTCCCGCCCTCCCCGGACCCAGGCGTTTGCGCCGGAACCACCCCCACGAGCTGCGCGACGGCCCATCCCAGGCGCTGTCTGCGACTGAAGCGAGCGCCGAGGCCTGCGCCTTGTCTCGGCCGCGGCTGCTTTTTGCCACCTCTCCTCGGCTCTCCGAGCTGCACAACTAGACGAAGCCGAAGGACAGAAATGGTCAGAATGTGAATAGAGCCCAATTTTTACCCTGGTGCTTAATCCTTTGGATTAGTCGACCTCTAGGCCCCAAACCTGAGGGAGCTGATTTTCCCTACTTTGCGCCTTGCTACCGGGCAAAGGCATTTTAGACATGTTGCCCAGGAGGATCCTACGAATCAAGCGCAATTGGGACAAACCCCCCCTGTATGCACACACACCGTTCTCCCGGAAAATGCCCACGAAGCGCCCTTGGGGACGGCGGAGGAGACTTACAAGTATATCGAGCTGACGAAAGACGCGGTCTTTGGCACAGGGATCCTTGACCATCTGCCCCAGCGAGAAAAGTCCAGGAATGCTTGCTTCACGCTATTCGCCTCCACACTCTGACCAGCAGGGAGTCGCCTCCCGAGCTGGGCTCCCTGACCCCAGCGCGGTCGCACCCAGCCCGCAGAAAGACTCGTGGAGAGTGCGGGGGGAGAAGGCCACCCCTCCGCCCGCCGCGAAGCTTCTGCGCCTTACCCGCAGCCGACCAGCCTCCAGCGTTTTGCAGCCACCGCCCACTGCAGCCCGTTAGTTACTCACACCAATTAATTGAAAAGTTCACTTTCCAAGGGACTTTTGTTTCACTTTCTTTTCCAAGCTTCCGGCTGCAAGGAACTGAGAGGGGCAAAATTAAGAGGACGCTTTTCCCAAGCAAAGTCAGAACTCGGGTAGGGGCAGCCCACAACAGCAGGGTCTGACTTCCAGGCGACCGAGTGGGCTCAGGGTAGTGCTGGCAGGGCTAGGCCCAGTTCTGGGGCCCTGCCGCGAGGGTGCCAGGGACCACAGCCCTGACTCCTCCTCATCCTTTCCCTGCAACTCCTCAGTCACAGAGCCCCAGCCCACCACCGTCTGGTCTTTGCCATTAATAGGGCGCCAATGTGAGTCCTGCGATGCCTGTATGACTCCGCCTTAGAGCGACAGTAGATCTGATGAGCCCAGGGTGCTGGTGTAGGTGTGGGAGTCCTTAGAGTGAGCCCATTTGGTTCTCTGGCATCAACTACTCAGGCCAGCCCGTCTCCAAGAAAATCGCTCCCCTGAGCCTGTGATTGGTGAGGCCAGCTTGTCACCCAGCCCCGCTGTTCCCAGACTCAAGACAGGCTGTGACCCGGGCAAGGAAGAGAGACAGGGAGGTCCTCCTGACCTGGCGTGGCAAGGTGGACTGCCTGTGTTGGGAATGTTGACATGCAAAATGAAGTACTCATAAAAGTCTCAAATAAACGGGAAAGTTAATGGGAGGGGTACTGGAAAGAAAAAGCAAGAGAATTTGACCTTTTCAAAACCCTAGACATGTTCATGATCAAATTCAAGATAGGAGGGAGTTGAGCATTTGCTGGGAGTAATAGGCACCAGAAGTTTGCTGAGAGATTTTGGCCACTGGGGAGAAGGTGAAAGTTTGCAACAGAAGCTGAATGGACATTAAGGCAAGGCCAGTCAGGGTCAGGTGACACCGTTGCTAACTTTTTGGAAGGGTTTGGCTGGGCCATATTTATCTAATTCCGGTACCAAACCAACCACAGGATGCCACTTCGAAATGCTTTCATTTTCCTTCGTCTCGCTTTGCTTTTCTCTGAGAGGGAAAGTGTAGAGATTTTTTTAAAAACTTTTCTGTGACTTCAAAAATAAAACTTAAAAAAAATATTTCTAAGGCATAAATGGAGTCAATGACCTTTCCATCTCCCAAAAGTAAATGTGCCTGTGGTTTTGTGTGCTGGGACTCCTGTTCCATATTCTATCGGATAAATATGTCTTAATGGCTGATTATATACTAAAAAATGAAGAAAGTGAAATTAAGGTAGGAGGGGATGCCTTGTCAAGTTTTGCTGATTTTAGATAGCCCATCACTTTTAGCTTGATTTTCCATGCAGTAAATTAAGTTGTATAGGACTGGGGTGGGTGGCGGGGGGTATCGAATTAATACCCTGGTTGGAAGAGACTTCTCATTGGTAGCCATGCCAGCAAATTTTCCATGGGATTTGGGAGTTTCTCTGCCCACTCTAGTGTATGCTCAGAGGCTGGGCAGGCTTTGAACAATAAGGAGCTTTGCCTCTTGCTATCCTGCTGCTGAACCTGCCCCCAACGCAGCCTCTGAAGCCCCAGCCCAGTTAAAAGGGGTTCCGCTTAGGAAAGGGGGCTCTGACAGGGCACTGTGTGCGTCCCTAAACCCAGCACCCCAGGGTAGCTGTTGCTATTGGGTCATAGGGCTATGGCTGAGAACCAGGCAAAGTTGGACTGTTTGTTTATGAACTAAGGAGAAATGGAGACACATCATTTACAAGCCAAGAGTGGTAGGTAGGGGAGGAATTTTGAGGCCGACTTCGCAGAAACATTTCATTTAGTTTGTATACCCTGTGTCTGAGCTGACTTCAGGTTCAATCTTAACAGGAATCCTTTTCTTTAGCTGGCTAGGAGCGCTGGCTGAGCCCTGTATATGCGTGTGGGGGGTGTTTTATGTTGGGGCTTTAACACAAATAGTCTTTGTTAAATGAAAATCCTTTGCAACCAGAGATGATTCCGAACACTGAAGTGTTATTCCGTGAAACCAGTTTTGCCGCCTTTTTTGATTCTGGTGACAAACAGCCCCACACTTCATTGCCCAAAGTCCCACTTCACCAGTCTCTCCCGTCAGTTTGCTCCTCTCCCTCCTTTCGCTCCACAAGCACCCTTTTCAGGGATCAGTGCTATTCAGGAGGTCACATTCTTTCTTTTGTCCCTTGTAGATAATCTTTGAAATCATGTCCGTGCCCTGGGATGGGGAATGGAAGGATGTAGGCTGCGATTTAGATTTAGTGGAGAAAGTAAACTGCCCTGTTTGCCAAGACAGCAATGGGCTCAGTTAATCAATGGCCATTAGGGCTTCTATCAGAGTGGGGTCCTAGAGATTCCCTTGAAATCGTTTTCCTCGATGGCCACAACCAGGAAGTGCAAGACACCTCCTAGTTTCCTGTAAGAAACAAAAGATTCAGTGCAGAAATGAAATCTCAATTCCAAAGTAAAGTCTTACACCCAGAGGGACTGGCCAGACAGTGTTCACCCCCCAAATCTGTGCCCTGCCACCTTTGGAGCTAATTTTCTCTGTCAAGGCAATACTCATCATTCAGACTGGAACTATCAAAAGAATAAAAAACAGCAAACCTGGCATGAAGAAGGAGGGACTCTAGCAAAAGCCAGACAGTGTTATCCTGCACTCCAGCACTTTCTATATCTGAGATGTATTCTGTTTGGGTTTAACAACACAATTAGGCTTTATTAAATGAAAATCGTTTGCAACAACAAAAAGAAAAAACCTCTCGAAACTGGAAGATTATTTGGTGAAACCAGTTTTGCCTCCCTCAGGGCAGCGAGCCCTTGTTTGGGACGGAGAGAACTCCTCCAGCCCTGGCGGGAATTAACCTCGGTTAGGGTCTTCTTCCTCAGAGCAGCGCTAATCTAGCTGCGGAGGACACGCAGGGGCGTGGGGCGGGAGCTCAAGGATTTCGTAGTTTGTTGCTTTCTTCGGGAAACAAAAGCTGGGACCGCAGGCAGTTTGCTGAGGTTTTGTCAAGGGGAGGGATTGACCTCGGAATACACTTTTTTTTTTATTATTATTAAGAATTCTTTTGTTAACTTTAAAGTCCATAAGCGCTTGCTCTGCCACTTTGAGCCCTTTTGGAGACGAAGAAAAATAGGTCGGCTTGTCTCTCTATTCTGTGCTGGCGATCCACATTGTGGTCACCGGCAGGGCTAAGGGATGAAGGTTAGGAAAATACCTAAATGTGGGTTGGGGGTGAGGATTCGTGGACGGTCGAGTGGCCGGATTCAGCTTCCTGGCCTGGCGGGCCGCAGTTCCCCACGCCTGGCGCTAGATGTCCCTGCAAGTTTTCCTGCGGCCTCAGAGGGCGCACGAGCTCAAGGCAGGCGGCCGCTCTGGGTAGCCTCAGAGTTCAGGGAGAAAGAGCCACTCACTCAGCCCATGCGGTGTCCGGTGGGGCTCGGGGTTGTGGGGGGAGAGAAGAAGATAGAGGCAACCAGAGAGAGCCAGACGAGACAGAGAGCGAGATGTGGCCTGTCGAACGACTGTAGCATGAAGTCGCTAGTGCGAAGCCAGGCTTGGAGTCACTAAACCCTTGTCTTCCCTTATAAACAGAAACCGCCAGCCACCCGGCCGCACTTAGCCTAAAGAAAATGTGCCCAGGGCTCGCAGCCCAGGTTCTGGCCATCCTGGTCGCCCACCACTCCCCGCGGCCCCAGCCTTCAGCAGGCGTCCAGACGCGGGCCGGCGGGTTCGTGGTGGCCACGGCCTGGGCTCAGGGTCCTCGGCGCAGAAGAGGGGAGTCAGGCTCGGGCGGCCGCGGGGCTCTGCAGCAGCCCGGATTTTACCAGCTCCGCGCCCCTCCGGCAGCCGGGGCAGATTTTATTACCTGCAGTCGCAGGCCAAGAGTGTTTACCACTTCACCTCGGAGGACCCGCCGCTGCCCAAGAAATAAATATTTAGTCTGGAGGCCTAACAAAAAATTAGGCCTCTTTCATGTCATTCCTCCTTTCTAGCAAAAAGTGCTTTTCAGTCCATATGGAGAAAGTCCTCCTTTCCCTCAGTCCCCCC